AAAAAAAAAAAAAGAAAGTAAATAATGGCTGGAAGGTGCTTCTAATAAGTAACATATCTGAGACTTAAACTCAGATGTGTAATCTGTTCTGCCTTTGTTAAAAAATAAAAAATTACATTTCTAAGTAGCATGGAAAAATATGTTAAAACTATTTTCTTTTTACACAGAATGCCAATGAGATATTAAAAATTACTGACTGTAATTACTGTAGCTCTCAGTCCGCAGGGCACCAGCCACATACACCAAGGGTGGCGGGTTCAAACTCAGCTGGGACAACTAAAACAACAATGACAACTGCAACAACAACAAAAAAATAGCTAGGCATTGTGGCAGGTGCCTGTAGTCCCAGCTACTCAGGAGGCTGAAGCAAGAGAATTGCTTAAACCCAAGAGTTTGAGTTTGCTGTGAGTTGCAATGCCATGGCACTCTATCCAGGGCCACAAAGTGAGACTCTGTCTCAAAAAAAAAAAAAAAAAGAAAAAGAAAAAAATTACTGACTCAGCTGGACATGGTGCCTCACAGCTGTAATCCTAGCACTCTGGGAGGCCAAGGCAGGAGGATCCCTTGAGCTTATGAGTTTGAGACCACCCTAAGAAAGAGCAAGACCCTGTCTTTATTAAAAATAAAAAAATTAGCCAGTGTAGCAGCATACACCTATAGTCCCAGCTGTTCAGGAGGGTGAGGAAAGAGGATCACTTGAATCCAAGAGTTTGAGGTTGCAGTAAACTATTAGGATGCCACTGCACTCTAGCCTGGCAACAGAGTAAGACTATCTCAAAAAAAAAGAAAGAAAGAAAGAAAGAAAAACCCAAAAATTACTGACTCAAATCAGATAATTCTTTAATAATAGATGTTAATGTAGATATTATTGTGATTAGCTTTAAAGATTCTACCTTATTTCTATTAAGAGACAGAACAAGGTTAACAACCTAAGGATGTGGGGAGAGGGGAAGGAGGGGGAGAGGGTGGAGGGAGAGGGATTCGAGGGTTCACTTCTATGGTTCATCTTGCAAGGGTACAAGTGAATCTTTCAATGAGTATAATATGAATGTTTTGACATAATAACTAAGAAAGTTACATGAAGGCTATGTTAACCAGTTTGATGGAAGTGTCTTGGATTGTGTGTGAAAACACCACACTGTACCCCCAAAGTGCATCAATGTACACAGTTACCATTCAATAAAATAAATAAACAAATAAATAAATAAATATTTTAAATCAATCTTTAAATAAAAAACTCTCCTCAAAAAAAAAAAAAGAGACAGAACAAGTAAGCTCTAAAGATTACTTACATGTATTACCAATTATATCATAATGTCTTAGTAAAGTATGGATAAAATTCAGTATCATGAGGTTGCTTTGGAACTCTCAGAGCAACTGCATCTGTGATTTTACATTATGGTAGGTGTTCGTTAAAAACTTGAGATAGATAATGATTCAGATTTACATATAAAAGTTGGGGGAAAAAATTAAAGAACAGGGGCTTGGTGCCCAAGGCTGGCAGGTTTGAACGCAGCCATGACCAGCTAAACAACAGTAACAACTGCAACAAAAAATAGCCAGGCATTGTGGCAGGCACCTGTAGTCCCAGCTACTTGGGAGTCTGAAGCAAGAGAATTCCTTAAGCCCAAGAGTTTGAGGTTGCTGTGAGCTGTGAAGCCACAGCACTCAATCAAGGGTGACATAGTGACACTCTGTCTCAAAAAAAAACAAATTATAAGTATACCTAAATAAACAAGTTTCACAAATGGAAACTTAACCTAGGCAATTTTATGTTATATTTTAAGGAACAGATTTGGTAGACAGTAGAATTTTTAACTGTGTATTTTCAGGTTACTTCCTGAGAAGTTTTTAAGTAATGTATACTTAACAAACTCAGCAGATAAGGGCAGAAGCCTCATCTGGAGGAACAAAAACATGTATAATATAAAATCTTAGCCAAGTTTATTATAGTTATATGCTCAAAAGAGAATCAAAGTCTTTATCCTTTATAAATTATTCTATAAAATGAAAATATTTTAGCTCAAATGCTTTTATGCCATCATGGGCTAGAGGCAACTGGCTCAGTCACTCAAAAATCTGATGCTAGGTGATCTTAGAACAGGTGCACCTTTCTTATTTGGTTGCTTTTACTAACTTTGTTCTCATATGCTATTTTTCCTTAAAAAAGTAGAAAATAAAAACCCCACCATTCCAATTTAATGATCTATTTCTGAATTCTCCACTAATTTTTCTTAAAAGTATTACTATTAAGTAATTATCACTAGTAGAGCCTTTATATAATTATAAAAACCTAATCTTAATCTATTCTAACAGTTTTTAAACTGCTTCATTTTTAACATTTGCACTTATCAGCATATAGTGATATTCTGATAAATTTTTTTTTCAAAATAAGATGAACAAAATTACAGTTGTGCTAAGAAAGCTGATATACTGGTACACAGTAAAATTTCAACCACAGATTTTAAATTTTATGGATGTGAAACCGCAAGTGTCTAAAAAGATATTGAGATACTACTCGGTGCTTGCTACCCAGGAACCTTAGCATGACTTTATTCTGGCATTTATCGGAATAATACTATTTATCATAGTACTATGATTGTTTGTTTATTCCTTTTACAAACCTCATTATGAGCTGCTTAAGACCAAGGCATGTATCTTAATTATATGTACATTTTTGGGCCTTAATAGACTGCCTGGCATATAGTTGTAGCTAGATAACCGTTTGGTGAATAATTAGAAACATTTCAAGAATTTCAACTAGACAATGACTTTGAATTAGTTTCAGAACCTAGAAGAATTACAGATATTGCATATGTACAAGAAATAAATGTATCTCAATACTGTTTATGAAATATTAATTAGCAAAATCGGCAAAACACAAGGTGAATAATTACCTTCCTTAAGAAAACAAATGCAAAGGCAACTGAGTTGGTGTTCCACTAAGATTAGGTGTTCATATACTGCCACCTTGTGTCCAAACTAATGTGAACTGAGGAATTACAGTTCTAATGCAAAGTTGAAAGCTATTCTTTACTCTCTCAAACAAAGCTAGGGATATCATTTCATTAAAAATCAAACTAGAGGCTCGGCGCCTGTGGCTGAAGCGGCTAAGGCGCCAGCCTCATACACCTAAGGTGGCGGGTTCGAATCCCCAGCCCAGACCCGCCAAACAACCATGATGGCTGCAACCAAAAAATGGCCAGGCGTTGTGGCGGGCGCCTGTGGTCCCAGCTACTTGGGAGGCTGAGGCAGAAGACTCGCTTGAGCCTAGGAGTTGGAGGTTGCTGTGAGCTGTGATGCCATGGCACTCTACCCAGGGGGATAGCTGGAGGCTCTGTCTCAAAAAAAAATCAAACTAGAGAGGTCCTTTTCAAAAAACATTATATCCACAGGCCAATTTTAAAGTAAAATTTATGTACTTAAAATTTGTCTAAGGGTCCTTAATAACATTTACCTATACTTCAAATCTGATAAATCCCATGATTTAGCACATTATATTGTGTTCAAAAATTTTAATACAGAGATATTTCATAGCGTATCATGCCATGAACACCATGTCTAGGTACTCTTGTTAACCAAGTAATTTAAAAACCACAAGACCCTGATTGTAAATCTAAAACTTTAAAGATCAGTTTCCATGAGCAGAAAAACCTACGGAGTACGTGACACACTCCCGGATGAAGGGCTCAACCACCACTTGGACTTTACCTAACAAACACAAACAATGTAATAACCTAATCATTTTACCTTGTATTAATCTGAAAGTTAAAAAAAAAAAGAAAAAATACCTATGGTGGAGAAAGTATTTAGCAGTCTTCTGCAAAAATTTTTGCATAATGCTAAAAGTTGGGGCACATGCTTCAAATAATAAGGTATATATAAAAAATTATTAAGTCACATCTCATATTACTTGTAATTTATAATATGAAATAATTTGGTTGAGAAGCATCTTTGCTTTGTAAACTTTAAAATTAGTAAGAAAAATATACCCACCATAGATTCTGCTCTTTAAGTTAATGGTCCAAAATTTTATTTGCCTAGTAGTGTCTACTCAAAGTGTCTCTCAAAATGTGGTACACAGACCAGCTGCATTAGGAGCACTTGAGGAATTTATTAAAGATTCCTTCCCCTTTATCAGAGTATCTGGGGAAGGGCCAGGTAACATGTATTTTAAAGAGGATCAGCAATGGTCACTTTCGGAAACACTAATTTACAGTTTTAAATTTAAAGACAATTTAAATGCATTTCATATGTTCAATGAATATTTTACTACGTTACTTACTAAAGGAAAAATTATAGAAATCAGAGTTTTTCAACTAATGTATGCTAGTTTTCCCTCAGTGGAAAGTAAACTAGATTAGGAATAAGGATACCTATTACCTAGTCTAGGCTACTCTTTTTACCCCATCAATGTCCATTCTAGTTCTAAATTCCATTATATCAACTCAAAGTCCTGCCAAATTAAACAAGAAAAAAACTATTATTTCAATTACTAGCATGAAAAATCTGTTTTTGCTTAAAGAAATAGTCTTAAATTTTAACACACTATAACCTGAGTTCTTGACACTAAGAATTCTAGAAGGCTAAAAAGCAAGTAGAGAAATTATTTTTATTTTACAGTATCAGGCTGAACTAATTCTCACAGAACACAAGAGATAAACAAAATAATAAAAATAAAAGCTTCAACAAATTTTACTTCTATTTATGCCCCCCAAAATATTTTATGTTAGTGAAGAACCTAACCCTAATTTAAATAGTCACCTATAAAATACTTACCTTTTCTACTAGTGGAATTAACTGTTGGTGTTCTGCTAACGTCTTTAATAGTTCCATAATGAAAGGCAAATAATTATGCTTCCTTCTGATATTCTCAATCTGAAAACAAAAAAGTTATCAAATCATTCTGAGTTTGCATCCAACTCAAAATAAAAATGGGATAAGATCCTACATACTCATCAGAAAAAATATTAATGAGATTCTATTCCCACTGAGTATGAAGATTAATAAATTAAAACATGTGTCTTGGGCATGGCTTTCTACTCTAAACTACAGCTAACAGAGGACTTTAAAAGTTCAAGCTAGGAGCCAGGCACAGTGGTTCACACCTGTAATCCTAGCACTTTGGGGGGCTAAGAAGGTGGATCGGTTGAATTCAGGAGTTCAAGAGCAAGAGTCTCTACTAATAATAGAAAAACTAGCTGGGTATTATGGCAGGAACCTATAGTCTAAGCTACTGAGGAGTCTGGACTGCTTGGACCCAGGAGTTGGAGGTTGCTGTGAGCTATGACACCATCGTACTCCAGACTGGGCAACAGAGTGAGACTCTGCTTCAAAAAAAAAAAAAAAAAAAAAAATACCTAGGATTACTTATAACAATGTCTTATAGAAGTAACTTATAAATCAACACCCTAGGTACTACACCTGTGCCTGTCTAGAGCTGCAGTCCCCAACCCTAGGAACTAGACTGCACAGCAAGAAGTGAGCAGCAGGCAAGCAAAGCTTCATCCGTTTTTATAGCCACAGCCCACTGCTCACACCACTGCCTGAGCTCTGCCTCCTATCAAATCAGTAGACAGACTAGATTCTCACAGGAGTGCAAATCCTACAGTTAAACCGCACATGCAAGGAATCTAGGTGACACCCCTCACAAGAATCTAAAGTGGACCTGAGGTGGGCTCCCTGATTCCACGTTATGGTCAGCTGTATAATTATTTCACTGTATATTACAATGTAATTATAGAAATAAAGTGCACAATAAATGTAATGTGCTTAAGTCATCCCCAAACCATCCTCCTCAACACATACCCAACTCCTTCTCTAGTCCATGAAAAAGTGGTTTTCCATGAAACTCAGTTCCTGGTGCCAAAAAGGTTGGGGATGGCCGGTCTAGAGAACACCCTCTCAAGCTATATAATTCTTGGTTTTCCTTGTTTTTGAACTATTATATATTCTACTTGGTAGAGGTTTAACTGACTGCCATTCTTCCATAGGGGGAAAAAAAAACTGCCCTCCTTTGTAAATTCATTAAACATTTCTTCACTTCATATAGGTTTGAGCTCCTTTGACTTCCTCCTTGAACTAGTTGTGATATCTTACGATTCCTTTAGTCAATTAATTAAATGATATCTTAACACTAGTTAATTTTATATCAGTATGAGAATCATTTTACCTTTTTCATTTCTAAAAATTTTTTATTATTTTTAAAAGTCTAAATAGGAAAGACCATTTTACCTTTTTTTAAACAAAGCATTCTCAACATATCAGGTAAAGATTCTGAAAACTTTTAGAAGTCTGTGTTTTATTTAAAGCAGATATTAAAAGTTAATTACATAGTAACTCTGCATAAGGACATATAATGATGGGCTGTTAGTTTTTCTAAAATACCATGTGAAATGAACCAGTCACAGTGGCTCACACCTATAATCCCAGCATTTGGGAAACCAAGGCATGTGGATTGCCTGAGCTCACAGGTTTGAGACCAGCCTAAGCCAGAGCGAGACCCTGTCTCTTTAAAAAATACCCAGGCATTGTGGCGGCCCTGTAGTCCCAACTACTTGGGAGGCTGAGGCAAGAGTATCACTTGAACCCAAGAGTTTGAGGTTACTGTGAGCTAAGATGCCATGGCACTCTACAAAGGGTGGCCAAATGAGATTCTGTCAAAAAAAAAAAAACATGTGAAATAGAAAATAATAACTGCTAAAGTTTTCATCTCTTACTTTCCTGTCTTGTCTCCACAAACTTGGCCCTTCCTTTTACCTGCCTGGAATACTCTGAAGCCTGCCTGCCCCTACCACTCCTACCTGAAGAAACCCTACTAGTTCAAGGCCCATTTATTTTATTTAGCAATCATTTTTTGTCTGTTAAGTATGATGCAAAGCACTATAATGACAGTCTAGTGAGTAATAAAAAGAAAAAGGACACTTCTTGGCTTCAACTGAGATTCAAATAAAAAACAATCCATTTTTCTTCTTAAAAAATTTTTTTGGGGACGGTCTTTGTTTGTCGCTGGGTTAGAGTGCAATAGCAACATAGCTCACTGCAAACTCAAACCCCTGGGCTCATGTGACCTTCCTGCTTCAGCCTCCTGAGTAGGTGGTATAACAGACATGTGTCACCATATCCAGCTAATTTTTCTATTTTTTGCAGAGGCAGGTACGTCACTCTTGCTTAGGTGTCACTCAAACTCCTGGTTTCAAGCAATTCTACTACCTCGGCCTCCCAACGTGCTGGGATTACAGGCATGAACCATTTTGCCTGGCCTGAAAAACAATCCTTTTATTATTGTAACATACAAGAGAAATGATACAAGTTTCACATTCAAAATCATACAAAATTTAAAGTTCTCGCCACTCTTTTCACTTTTCTGAAAAGAGCTTATCAGACAGATTATAAGTGAAAGAGAATATTAATAAAGATAATCTTGCTTCCATATTTGACTCTGAATTACACAAATTTTTGATATAACTAAATAAAATTAAATCAGAATTTTTTTTAAATCTAAAAAACTTGAAAGCAAAGTTAAGAGGAAAAATTTTTAAGTAAATTTAAAATGTAGAATTTGATATATATCCAAAATGAGACATATCCTAAGGAATAAAATGAACTTCAGAAAAAAACTTTTCAATTGTTATTAATAGTAAAGATATTACTATTCTGAACCTTTTAATATATTCATATGTATACACATATATTATATACATACTATACATATATGGCACAGCCTGGCATGGTGGCTCATGCCTATAATCCTAGCACTCTGGGAGGCCGAGGTGGGTGGATCACTTGAGCTCACAAGTTCAACACCAGCATGCGTAAGAGTGACACCCGTCCCTAAAAACAACAACTAGGCATTGTAACAGGTGACTGTAGTCCCAATTACTCAAGAGTCTGAGGCAACAGGATCACTTGAGCCCAAGAATTTGAGATTGCTATGAGCTATGATGCCATAGCACCCTACTGAGGACAAGCAAGTGAGACTCTGTCTCAAAAAAAAAAAAAAAAGGCATTAAGCAATAAGTAGTTACATTAATATTGTTCAGAACCAAGATGTCAGCTTAAGAAATATAAATTCTTAACTTCTTCAAGTATAAGCCCTTTAATCCTAATATGAATTCATGATGTATTTGTTCTTCAAAAATAAAACTAGAAACAAACAAAACTTTATTTCTCAGCTCTAAAAAGTACCCAGAAATAATCACCAACTAAGTAGTACTAAGCCCATAAGCACACAGAGAGTGGTTTCTAAATATCATTTCCCAGTAAGGGAAACCAGGACTTCTTTTAAAAAAAAAAAAAGGCTGATTCCAAGTCTGAAGCAAGAAATATACAAGATAAATCTGAATCATCTTTTTATAACAGAAAGCAAGGATGCTATCAAAGACTAAAAGGGTTATGTCACAAAGACTTAGGAGTTAGCCTGAAGTGGTCTCCAATGGCCACAGATGGTATAATTTGAGCATCGATAAGAATAATAACTGCAATAAACTGAAATATCAAACAGATTAAGAATCCGTTACTAATAATACTTCACAGAAATAAAACAGAAAGAAACCTCACTACCCCTCTTTGGAGGATGCCAGAAAACTACTACATTGCGAAAAATGGCAATGGTGGGAAGCACAGCAATCAACGTTCCATATATTCTTCTCTCAGAATAGACTGCTCTACATCAAAACATTTTTTTTTTTTTTTAAATATGGAACGCTTCACGAATTTGCATGTCATCCTTGCGCAGGGGCCATGCTAATCTTCTCTGTATCGTTCCAATTTTAGTATATGTGCTGCTGAAGCAAGCACTCTACATCAAAACATTAAAAGAAAACAAAGTTTAAAACGTACCTTGTATCTCTTTAATTTCTGTACTTCTTCTTCAATAAGCATCTGATTTTTGGCAACTTCTGACTGAATAGCACTTAACATACTATTACCCTGATCTGTATCCATGGGTTCCTCCTTAGGAGAAAGACAAAGAAATAGCATACCCTAATGACTGAAGCATTAAGTCCAGAATACTTTTAAATAACAAGCATAGAACAATTATTTTCACATACCTGCCTAAAACAGAAATTGAAGGATAAACGCCCGGAACAGTACCTTCAATATTTCCATATTCTAGAATACAAATAAATTTTTACCTAAAACCCACCTGTACTGTCATATACTACAGGCAGTCCCTGGGTTACAAATGAGATTTTTGCTCCATTTGTAGGGGTGTATTGAATGTCAGTCAAATGTTTGTAACTTGGGGGCTTACTGTAATAGCCTCCATTTTTAAGTGCAAGTTGTAAATAAATGGGATGTTTGTAACTTGGGGATTGCCTGCATATTACTATAATCATCTATTGAGCTATAAAATAAATCTGCTCAAATACACTCTTACAAAAATATGATCGAAGGATTGTAAAAATGACTTTGTTACTAAATCTCTTCTCTAATCATCTTTACCACAGAAAAATAAACGTAAGAACTAGGAAATATTACTTATGAATCCAAATGTACATAATTAACTTTTCGAGAAATATATTCCAACTTGCTTAATTATGTAATAGAATCACAGTACATAATTAAATATAATTATAATTCAGTTGATGCCTGTAATCCCAACACTTTGGGAGACTAAGGTGGGAAACTTGCTTGAGGACAGGAGTTCAAGACCAGCCCGAGCAAAAGCAAGGCCTTATCTACATAAAGAATAGGAAAATTAGCTAGGCTTGGTGGTACGTGCCTATAGTCCCAGCTCTTTGGCAGGCTGAGGAAGGAAGACCGCTTGAGCCCAGAAGTTTGGGGTTGCAGTGAGCTATAATGATGCCACTGCACCCTGGCCTGACCCTGACTCAAAGATCAAAACTGTAATTATTAATACTTAGGACTTACCATTTGTCAGTCATTATTTTAAGTGGTTTACATGTACTTCCCCATTTAATTCTCTTGACAACCTTGTAAGATAAATACTATTATCCTCGTGCTACACGAAGAAACTGAGGTACAAAGAAATATACTCAAATTCATACATCTACTAAGTGGCAAAGCCAGGAACTTAATCCAAGCAGCATGAATCTGGACTGTATTCTCTTAACCTCCAGTCAGTATACTTCATTAAATCTATACGTTAAAAAAATACATAGTAAATATTTTCCCTGAGAGAATAACTAAGCTAAACTTTGTACTTTTATTAAAAACACATGGCTACAAACCTCTGCAAGTTGTTTCTGTAACTCTGCTATCTTCTGTTCATATATCATTTTTCTGTCAGATACAATGGCCATTAGGTTAAATCGAATTTCCCCTTCACTATACCTAGAAGAAAGTTATTTTAAAATTTATAATGTAATAAAGAATTGTGAAACCTACTGTTAAGATAATCTGTTGTGATTACCTCATGATTCTCTGGGGCAAATAAAAATCTGTCAATTGGCTAACAATAAAAATTGATACTTTAAAAAAGCCTTCATATATGAAAGACAACTGCAGGCTCCCCAAAATTAGCTAAATCTAATCACTCACAAATATTTTTAAATGTTCTAAAATATTACCCCACTTAAAACACCTGCAACAATGAATCTGAAATAACAAATATTTTTATCAATTTCCCTACTTTAAAAGAAATATAGCAACTCATTTACTTAAGATGTTAGAAAAAGCAAAGACCCCACATTTTTTGGATTAATTATACTGGCAGCTTTATAGTAATACTCTGTACTATACATTTTTTTTGGCAAGTCATGATACAGTTTCTACTTTTAATAAAAATACTTTAAATTTTTATTTATGTTTTACATTATATATATTTACATAATATTTTATTAATATGTAATTATATCCTATAGTAAAATTTATGAATGCTGTTTGATTTTCACTACTCTGATACCAATCAAACAGCTCTTACCCAAAGCTTGTTCATCGTTGGGACTGATATTTAAAAAAATTAGCAAGTAGTACTCAATCAGGAAGAAAAGATATAGAAAATGTAGGATCATTTTTTCATTCGTTCATCTCTAAGAGTTTGTCATACATAGTTTTCTAATTGCAAAGAATATGGCCCAATATAACAATTGTGCTTTGAGTTATGTAAAAAATGCTTTTTAAATGCTATTTGTGGAACTTTCATGTTCCTATCCCTCCCATTAAACACAACCTAAAAGTCCTAGACATCATATATTTTTTAAAAAAAGAGAGAGGTCAGACAAAGTGGCTCACGCCTATAATCTTAGCACTCTGGGAAGCCAAGATGGGTGGACTGCTTGAGCTTAGGAGTTTGAGACCATCCTGCGCAAGAGCAAGAACTCTGTCTCTACTAAAACTAGAAAAACTAGCAAGCACTGTGGCAGTTGTCTGTAGTCCCAGTTACTCAGGAGGCTGAGGCAGGAGGATCACTTGAGCCGAGGAGCTTCAGGTTGATTGGAGCAACAGAGTGAAAATAAATAAATGAATGAATAAAATAAGAGAGAGGAAAAGAGAGAGAGAGAGAAATCCTGAAAGTTGGATAAAAGGCAAACAAGTTAGGAAACTCAGGACCCAAGAATGAAATAACAGTTGACTTCCCTATAGTTCTTTTTCTGCCTCACATATCCCAGACTTGGAGGTAAAGAAACCAGCAACCCAGAACTATCAACAGAAAGAGAAAAAAAAGACCCAAAAATATCTGCTATCTCTAGCCAGACAGAAAAGGGGCAGCCTCAAAAGACAGAAAACTTTCAGACAACAATCACTCTTTTATAGTCAGACATGACTGAAAAATCTACAACTCCACCTTTTCCACAACAGCAAAAGCAGAGTCAAGAGTACAGACCTCCAACCTTATCAGGCTTTAACTTGGCTGGGCGCAGTGGTTCACACCTGTAATCCTAGCACTTGGGAGGCCGAGGTGGGGGGATTGCCTGAGCTCATAGGTTTGATACCAGCTGGAGCCAGAGTGAGACCTTGTCTCTAAAAATAACCGGATGTTGTGACGGGTATCTGTAGTCCCAGCTACTCTGGAGGCGGAAAGAAGACAATTGCTTGAGCCCAAGAGTTTGAGTTTGCTGTGAGCTGTGAAGCCACAGCACTCTACCATGGGCGACAAAGTGAGACCCAGTAACTCTGTGAAAAAAAGAAACAAAAAAGGCACCTATGTTGGTATTTCAAATGGTTGAGCAGGTTTATCCCTACCAGGTGGTAAAGATAACACTCATTAGCAGTATCAAAGGACACCAAATGGGATCAGTGGAGAACAATAATAAGGCCCTGCTACCCCTCTCAGTCAGAGTGGTATCAGTAAAAACCCTGCTGGGGGCTGAAACTTCCACCCCTGTCCAGCAGTAACAAGGAACCTCATTCCAGCTCAGAAGTCAGTGGTCTATTAGGGAACCTAGACTTCTACTCCCACACCGGGAACTAATGAGGCAAAGCCTCCAATTTATCCTGCCAGAGCAGTGTTCAGAAAAACCAACCAAAACAGAAATTAAATAAGATCCACTTTTATCATATAACACTCAAAATATTTAGGTTTCCATCAATAATGCCTCATTGTATTAAAAACCATGAAAATCTGAACCTGAATGGAAAAGACACTTGATAGTAAAATGACAGATATTGGAATTATCTGTGAAAGATTTTTAAAAAGACATTATAAAAATTATTCAGTGAAAGTATAAACACATTGAAAATAAACAAAAAATTTCGAGTTTCAGCAAAGAAATAGAAGATATAAAAAAGAACCAAATGGAATTTTTACAACTGTAACATATAATAACCAAAATAAAAAAAAATTATTGAGCTTAGTGATGAGCTCAACAGTAGTACGACGGAGACAGAGGAAGAATCAGTAAACTGGAAGACAGAACCACAGACACTACCCAATCTGAACAGAGATAACAAGAAAATAGACTGAATGAAAAATTAACAATCCCTCAGGGACCTGTGGGACTAAAACAAGGATCTATCATTTAAGTCCTCAGAGTCCAGGAAGAGGAGGAGAAGGACAATGAGGTTGAAAAGGTATGCTAGGATCCAGTGGCTAAAAACTTCCCTAATTTAACAAGACACAAACCTACACATTTAATAAACTGAGTAAACTTCAAACAAGATACACTTTTAAAAATTCACCCCAAGATATACTGCAGTCAAACTTCTGAAAAATAAAGATGAAGAAAAAAATCTTGAGAGCAACATTAGAAAAACAACATAACCACAGAGGCAAACAATCCAAGTGACAGTATCAGAAACCAGAAAGGCAAGAAGGTAGTGGCATAACATTTTTCAGGTGCTGAAAGATAAGATTTTCAACCCAAACTTCTATGTCCAGTAAAAATATCCTTCTAGAATGAAAGGGAAATCAAGAGATTCTCAGATGAAGAAAAACTAGGAATCTGTTGACAGGGGACCCACGGTAAGGAATGGCTAACCAAAGGCTTCTAAACAGAAAAGAAATGATAAACGCAGTCTTGGAACATCAGCAAAGAAGAAGAATGGAAAGAATAAAAATATACCGTAGGAACATGTAATACTTTTTTCTTCTCTTTAAGTTTTCTAAATTATGTTTCATGATTGAAACAAAAATTATAATAATATCTGATATGGCTCAAAAACATACATAAAAGAATCATTTTTAAAAAGCCATACAGAGAAAGAGACTTAAAAGCACCAGAAATAAATAAAAATGAAATTCTGAAAAATGGTCAAGTAACTCACAGGAAGGCGAGAAAAGGATAAGATAGAAATTTTTTTAAAAGCAGAAAACAGAAAAAATGAAATGGCAGGAGTAAATCATAACATAAAAGAAATTATATTAAATGTATACTTAATCTTGTATGTCATTTTGTTAAGTCTACTATATTCGATTTAAATGGTTGAAATACACCAAATAAAAGACAGAGAAGACTGTCAGAGTGGATTAAAAAACATGATTCAATACATGCTGCCTACAAGAAACTCATTTCAAAGATAATACAAATAAGTTGAAAATAAAAGTAAACCAAAAAAATACCATGCATACATGAATCATACAAAAAGCAGGAGTGGCTATGTGTTACAAAAAGTTAAATTTTACAGCAAAGAAAATTAAATAGACAGAGAGGGACATAACATAATAAATAGCTATCACCATATATATACATGCATCAAAGCATAGAACTAGAAAATACATAAAGCAAACAACAAAATTTAAAAAAAAAGAAAACAGACAAATTCAAAACTTTCCCTTTTGCGAATGACATGACTGTCTATTCAGAAAATGCCATGAAATCTGGGTGAGCTCAGCTAGGCCAAAGGCTACAAAGTAGTACAGGGAAAAATTCAACTGTATTTCTATACCTTTGCAATGATCACATGGAAACCAAAAGTGAAAACACAATATTATTTATAATATCACTCAAGAGAATATAAAATGTTTGGGTATAGATCAAATGAAACATGTACAGGATTTGGATGCTAAAAACTAGAAAATGCTGATGAAAGAAATATGAGAAAATATAAATAAATGAAGAGATTTAGCATGTTTATAGATTGGAAAACTCAGCATAGGAAAAACAGCAGTTCTCAAATTAATATAAACATTTGACACAGTTCCTATGAAAATCCCAAGAAGGACTTTTATAGACATAGAGAAAGTTATATGAAAATTTATATGGGCAGGCAGGAAGCTATTTCTACTATAGCTAAAAAAATTTTCATGAATAAAGTGGGAGGCATCAGACTATCTGATTTCAAGGTTTACAGTGTACAATCAAGACCCTATAGTACTGGCGGAGGGACAGAAAATAGATGAATGAAAAGAACAGTAAATCCACAAACAGACCGACACAAATATGCCCAAGGATTTTTTTTACAAAGATATAAGAGCAATTCAGTGGAGGAAGACTAGCCTTCAACAACTGATGTGAGAGCAATTACACATGCACAAGCAAAAAAATGAACCTTGATCTAAACGTCACACCATGTACAAAAATTCACTCAAAACAGATCACAGCCTTAAATGTAAAATGTTAAACTAATTTTTAGAGAAAAGGAGAAAAACATCGGCAGCTAGGGCCAAATAAAGAATTCTTAGACTTGACAACAAGAACACTATTCACAAAATACTGATAATTTGGATGTCACAGAGAATAAGACCTTTAGCTCTGTAAGAGACCACATTGAGAGTATAGGGGATGGGCTATAAAGTGGGAAGAATATTGCACACAACATGTCTGATGAAGGACAATGTAAAGAACTCCAGGGCTCAATAATAAAAAAAAACAAATAATCCCATTAGAAAAAAGGGCAAAAGGCATGAAAAGAGTTTCAAAATTAATAGTAATTATAGAAATGCAGACTAAAACCACAATGAAATATCACACTACACACCTCTTACTGTTTAAAAAATTGTGACATCATCAAATGCTAAAAAGGATGCAAAAAATACATTACTGGTAGAGATGTAAAATGGTGTAGCCACTCTGAAAAAGAGTTTAGTAGTTTCTTGAAAAAACTAAACATGTATTTATCATACAACCCAGCAATGATACTTCTGGGCATTTATCGTAGAGAAATAAAATTTTTTCGTTTCCCCCAAAATTCGTTCCAAAATTTTTTTTTGCGGTTTTTTTCTTATTTGGCCCCCCCAAATCAAAACAATCCAGATGTCCATTAATGGGTGAATAAGCAAAAAAACTGATATATCCACATTACAGAATATTACCCATCAATAAAAAAGGAAATAACTATTGATACACTTAACAACCTGGATTAATCTCCAGACAATTATGCTGAGTAAAAAAACAAATGTAAAAATGTTACATATCACCTGATTCCATTTATATAATATTCTTTAAATGGCAAAATTTTAAAACTAGGAATTAAAGAGTGAGGGAAAGGGAGAGATGGCAAGAGAGGGAAGTGGCTGTGGCTATAAAAGGGCAACATGAAGGATCCTAATGATAATCAAATTGTACTGTGTCTTTACTATAACAATGCAAATATCCTGACTATGATATACTATAGTTTTGCAAGGTAAAGAAGACACATGATCTCTCTGTTTTACATCTTACAACTAAATGCATAGAGTTATCTGAAAACAAATATATATCTCAAAATAAAAAGTTTAAGTTAATATAAAAATCCTCAAAAATAAAATAAAACTCCACAAAATGTGTTACAAATATCTAACAGTACAAAAATCTCTAGCTTAGTAGAGACCTGCATGTTTAGCTTCTTTAAGCTAAAATGACATACTACTATGTGAAATTTAGAGATTTTCTGAATGCATTAAGCTAATCAAGAGTAGATATTTAATATACACATTGTTAAAATGACAATAAAAATTAAAACAATGCTTAAAAACCAGAACGTACAGCTAGTCATATAAACTTGAAATAAACATGAAAAAGCAGTATTTCTCAAACTTCAATTATCTGTATGATTTCTTCAGTCTTTACCATACCTAGTTATTTAGTTAATATTTTTTATAAAGGGACTCAAAATGTTTAGCCTTCTAAGGAATCTTATTTAGCATATAAAACTCACACTTTAGTTTTGTTTTTTTTTAAATCAGAGATTACCTACACATAGGGTAGAGAGTCTTATGATTAATTTCATATGCTAATTATATTTCTTCGATTTCCCATATCTATCTTCAAATAGATAGATATATAACTTTTGTAACAAAAATATTCACTGATGTACCACCACTTACCCCCCCCCAAAAAAACCCCAGAATATTACACCAAAAGGATTAGGTGGACATTTACTTCTGTATTCTTTTTTCTATCACTGGCCTTACTGCACTGATCCAATCATCTTGATTACATGCACCTAGAAAGAAATTTAAAAACAGTTAAAACAAAAATAAAAATAATCAAAATTATTTCGAAGTTCAGTCCAAAATATTTTTAACACACATTTTAGCAAATTCAGGACAGCAGAAAGTATTTTAACAGAACAATGTTAACTTCAATTCTTATCTTCTGGTAATGGTTACAGAAAAGAGTATTATCATAATTAGCATTACCATATATTACTATGTCACTTAGCAGGTGGTAAACAAATGTTTGAGAAAGAAACAAATATGGGCTTTACCTCATTTAAACTAACAACCCTTTGCAATCAAAAATAACTAGCCTCATTTTACAGATGATGAAACTAAAGGCTGGCTAGACGTAATGACTCATGCTCACAATTCTAGCACTTTGGGAGGCCAAGACGGGAGGATTGCTTGATGCCAAGAATGGGAGACTAGCCTGAGCAAGAGGGAGACTGCCATCTCTCCAAAAATCAGAAAAATTGCCTGGATTGGTGGCTTATGCCTGTAATCCTAGCACTCTGGGAGGCCAAGGCGGGTGGACTGACTGAGCTCAGGAGTTTGAGACCAGCCTGAGCCAAGGTGAGACCTGTCTCTAAAAACTGCCAGGCATTGTAGCCTATAGTCCCAGCTACTTGGGAGGCTGAGGCAAGAGAATCACTTGATCCTAAGAGTTTGAGGTTGCTGTGAGTTATGACACCAGAGCACTCTGCTGAGGGCGAGCAAAGTAAGGCTGTCTCACAAAAAAAAATCAGAAAAATTAGCTAAATGTGGTGGAGCACACATGTAGTCCCAGCTACTTGGGATGCTGAAGTAGGAGGACTGCTTGAGCCCAGGAGTTTGAGGTTTGTAGTGAGGTATGAGGATAACACTGCACTCTTTCCAGGGCAATAGAGCTAGACCCTGTCACACAAAAAAGAAAGGCAACAAAAACAAAAACAGAAAGCCAAGAAAAGCCAGCCCGCATGTTAGTGGAAAAGTAAGGATTCAACTCATCTGACTCCCCACAAATGTAACTGTAAAATAACATATTGAAATGCACTCATAATTCATAACCAGTTTTACCCAGTTATTTTAATCCTCTTTTTCATCAGAAGTTATAGCACAGCCACCAGCTAGCTGTATAGCAAATCTGACTCTTCTAGTGTACCTTTCTTCCTTTATATTTATTTTACAGTTCTAATGAATAAAAAAATGTATGACTGGATAGAAGCCAACAGATAAATGCAGAGATGAGATGAACTACCAAAACTTAGCATCTACAAAATTAAAAAAAAATTCTATTAATTTTTTATAAAAGACACAGAATAGTATTTTTAAATATAGAGGTAGCATGTGATCTGCATTGGATAAGCGCACGGTTATTAAAGATGAGCCATGGCAAAAACTACAAACAAAATGAGCCTATGTTAAAATTTTTTTAAATCTAAAAGCTAGTTTTAGGCCAAGCACAGTGGCTCATACCTATAATTCCAGCACTCTGGGAGGCCTACATGAGCTGATTGCTTGAGCTCTGGAATTCGAGACCAGCCTGAACAACAGCGAGACCCCATGTCTAAAAAATAGCCAGGCATTGTGGTGGGCACCTGTAATCCCAGTTACTTGGGAAGCTGAGGCAGGAAAATTGCTTAAGCCCAAGAGTTTGAGGCTGCTATGAGCTGTAATGCCACAGCACTCTACTGAGGGCAACAAAGTGAGACTCTATCTCCAAAAAATAAATTAATTAAAAGCTAGATTTATGAAAAATATATAATATTAGACTCAACTTGAAAGTTTTGTTGGACTTCAGATCTAATTTTTTAAAAAGGGAAAATTTAATGAGGACAAAATAAGGAGTTAAAATTTTTGTGTGGGCTTCTTCTTCAGTAATATTTTAGAACCATAAATTCTCCTTTTTTTTTTTTAAATGGTTACATTTTTTATTCCTTCCACGGAAAACACTAAAAGACTTCGAGCCAAAAATACATGCTGACTTTCTACAAATGGTGTAAAAGTTGATTTTTTATTATGGCAGTAGGAAAAATTAATAAATTTTTATTCAAGGAATTTCACATGTCATTCTCCTTCTGCTGTCCATCTCAATGGCTGGAGTCAATGAAGTTTTACCTTTAAGACAGCCCTTTTTTAATAAACAGATCCTCAATTCACAGTTGTCCTGTTACCCCTACATAATGACAAAAATTTACAGCTCCAAAGATGATCATATAAAACAAGCCTCCCTTAGCTCCACAAACCACCTAGTTATTAGCTGTCCTGAAGAGTTAGCTAAAATTAGCTAGAAATATCTGTTCTGTGAGGCACAAGAGATCCATGCATGCACTGTTCCTGCTGTAAAATCTATTAGACAATCATGGTTGCTCACTTTGTATTTCCACTTGGACAGTGTCACACGCAGGCAATAGAGGGAAAACAATAGTTTAAAATAAAGGGCTAATAAAATGTCCCCAGTAGGCTGAGTGCTAGCAAAGTAGCAGACAGAAAACCTAGTGGAAGTTTTTTTTATGGTCATGTCCACAGCAATTGAGAAACTGCATTCTAAAAGCCTTGGTAATGACCACAGAACCATAAATTCTCAATGGTTCTCAATAACTATTATCATTTTTGCTCATGGTTAGCAACAAGATGGAATCAGGATAAATCTATTCTTTGACACAAAGGATAGCACATTAAAGCACCACCTAAATAGAAACTTAAAAAAAAAAAAGAAAACTTGTTGATTATAAAACAATAAAGTGATTCTTAAAGACCCAATTCCAAATAAAACTAAGAAATATTTCCTATCCCTTATCAACAGGTTGAAAATGGCAAGAATAACTTTTTAAGTTCGCTAAGAGTAGCTTTTAAAAGTTAAATGGAAAATAAAATATAAATTATGCAATCTGGGTAAAAATTTTTTTCTTATAGAAAAACCAAAAGCTTCAACTGAACTATAATAGTCAACATGTCATCCCCACATGCTATTTAATTGCACAAAATACTGATGATTTATGGTCTTCATGATTCTATAATACCTTGTAGTCATTTGTACCTTCAAACTGTAAGAAGCATTATGGTTACAGTGAAGGTAAATACCCAACTTTTTTTCACTTTCTGTCAAAAGTGAAATACCAGGAATAGGAACTGCATTACCTAAATCAATTGGTCCTTCTCTTAATCCATCTAATTCATACAGTCTTCCATTGACAGGAACATAACTGACAAAATGAAAAGCATCTTCTTCTTTTGCTGATGTTTTTGTATCAAATTCAAACATTTGTTGTCTACATCAAAGAAAAGAATTGTGAGACAAAGAAGCAAAGGAAGAAACAGTACCTACTTAATAAAAAGTCTCTTTACCTGGCAAAACTGTTGTGTACTTGTCGAATCACATCTGAATTGCTCAGTGCCAAGCCTTTCATCTAAAATAATTTTTAAAAATAGCCTATTAAAATAAGAACTAACACAAACCGGACAATTTAGGATTAAAAAGAATGTACTTACAGCTGCATCAAAACTTTGTGAAAATTCTTTAAACTCTGATAAAGTCTCTCCTAAATGGACATCTTGATGAGTGCAGTTCAACAACACACTTACTATGGCTTGAGTAGCACAAGCATTATTAATTACCTATAAAACACAAAAGTGAAGATATCAATTAATTTTTTAAGAAAAGTTTTTAACTGGTGACCAAGACCAAAAAACTCTGAGTCAAGTTAACAGATTTCAAATTTTATCTCACACAGTTTTAGCATAAACATAACACACATGTTAAATTTCAATTCTAGTCTATTTTTAGGAGTTTACTATAATTCTGGAGTTGAAGATTCTAGGAAACCAAATAAACCAAATGGACTCATAACATTAGTGAAAACCAATCCAGCTAGAATAACAAGACCCACCTTCTGGATCTAAGATGTAACTGAACTTGCCTCCCTCTCCTATTCACCTTTGACACTCATTTCTAACTCCCCAGATTTACCTCATATTTTAGGACCTAACACAAGCTTCAACTCAGCTATGTGGCCTTTGGAGAAATTCTGTAAAAACTCATGTTAGTTTCTACTCTCATCTGAATTCCCCAAAAGGGTATACATTGTCCACCTATTTTTTCACTCAATTACGTGTGGTCTTTATAGTGCTATCACCCATCAGTTAACTGTTCATCTAACAAATACGTGGACCTTACAGTCTGCTCCGAGGAGAAAACATTGAGATAGCACTTACTATGTGCCAGGTACTTTTCTAGGCACTTCACATGTATTATTTCTTTTAATCCTCTCAACATCCTATGAAGAAGGAGTAATATTATTATCCTCATTTTATATTTGTAAAAGCTGAGGCACAAAGAAGTTAAGTAACTTGCCCAAAGGCACACAGCTATGCAAGAGCAAGATAGTCTGGTTCTAGAATTTGTGCAACTGGCCATCATGCTAGGCTGGCTCTGTACAGATATAATACATGTGACCTCTCCAATAAGTTTATAAACTACTACAAACAACAGTTTCTTCCATACTCCCTCTAGCACCCACAGTACAGAGATCTGTGTGGACATCAGCAAGGTTAATCACAGAGTTAAATGATTTTTAAAAATATATGTTAGTCTTACTACATATATAATATTTTGTTATATTATAATTAAACCCCATTTTCTAATTAGTCTTTGCAATAATGCTAATTAGCTTATGAATTTATTTTTTAGTAAATTATTTTTATCCTGACCGATTTCAAAAGAAAATATTTCAATTATTTTCCCTCTTTAATTCTTATAAGTTCTCTACTTTTATGTTGCCAGAGCCTTTTAAGGTCTTATATACACCCACCAGTTATTGAATTTTTTTTAGTTAATTTTTGTTACTTATACATGTGTATATTAGGTTTCCACTTTTGCCTTTACAGAATTAAAAAGGCTAAATTTAATGACAATAACAATATTTAACATTAAGACTGAGAACAAAAACTTCATAAAGAACAAATGAAGATAAATACTTTAACTGATTAAAGTATTCTATAATAGACATACTTCTATCTGACAATGTGAATGTTACTTTCTTTGCTTTATTACTATTATTATTGCTTAATATTTTGTTACAGCAATCATCTGATTTCTTTTCTGAATGCATTTATCTTCAGTTATTGAATTTTTGACCGTGGTATATTTGAGAAACTCCTTGATAAGACTGCATTCTCCATTAGGGAACATTCTCTTACTCTCAATTCTCAGCAAATATAAATGATACCATTACAGTTCTGTAATTCCTCTTTTTAAGTATTTTGTGTTCAACACTGTCTTATAATTGATGAATTAGGAAAAGTAGTAGAAGATTTCGAATCCAATTAACATTGCTGCTGATTTCTATAAATATGCATTTTGATCTGAATTTGGATGAAAAATTTTCATACTAAAGAAGACTCAATAAATGTAACTGACTAAAACTTTACGACATTTATTCCTCCCTTCTCTTGAGCTAAAATTATCTAAGGTGAATTTACCTGGGAACAGGGATTACAGGAGTAGAATCAGGGGAAGTTAAAATTTATACTTATTCATACATTCTTTCAAAATCATGACACAGGTTGTGAGGCCACAGTAGAGATCATACTATCAAATATTTCTGTGATCTAAGAAATGCAAATCTGTAATCCATTACTTTGGTAATTTTTTTTAAAAAGTAGAAAAACTCCTGTATTTCTCTTTTGCTGTCAATAACAATTTACATTGTCCATGCTACAGCACATTTTGTGTGTACGTAAAGAATAGTAATTACAACGTATGTTGGTATAAGAGCAACTCTTCAAGTTTTAAAATGAGTTTAGTGCCATCAAGTGGTTATGCTATAAACAGTACAAAATTAGCAAAAAAAAAATGACAAAAAATGGATAGCTACTCATTCAAATATTTTCCAAACACCTGCAATGTGTCAATCACTTTGAAAAAGGCTAGACAAGCAATGAACAAGAAAGATGTGGTCCTTGTCCTCACAAAACTCACATAAAAAAAAAAATCACCTTACAGACATTATTTGAAAGAAGTTTAACTCATCATGCCAAAAACTATTGCAGTATAAATTATTTACATAACTTTTCAAACCTTTCCTCATCCTAAGTGTGTTATCTCATACTCTTGGTTTTAATATCTTTTCAGATAAAGTAGTAGAGTTCAATAATAAGGGCTGGCCCAGAAGCTTAAGAATTTGGTTTGAATTTCTTTGATGGGTATAATTTCTTTTCTTTTCATGGCATATTCAAAAGAATGAAGTAGATGCTCCGAGGCATGATACAAAAACACCTTAAAGTACTGCATATAAATTACACTCAACCTTCACTGAATCACAAATAATAAAATTTTAATCTTATTAATAGTCAAAGAAACAAGGTTGAGAACATAACTGTAGCTTCTTCCTAAAGGAAAAGTGGTGCTTTAAAAGGTATAAGAATTTGGAAAGAAATGCATACACACACAAAAAGATGAACAATAGAAAATTAAAATTGTAAAGGAAGGAATTATTTTAGACTGGAATAGACAGGTTTCTCTATGAAATTTTAAAAGGGCTTTGAAAATTTAGTAGGATCCAGAGAATAGAGAAGGAAATTCATTCTAAGAAGTGAGAAGAGTGTGAACAAAGGAATAAATTAAGATTGCATATTCAAGAGATAACAAGCATATCAGTTTGTTATTAGAATAGTTGTCGTCACAGCAGGGGTAATTCTTTTACCTTGTATATCATCAGCCTTGAGAAATTAGGAGTTTTCTCTAAGAGTTAAGAAATTTTGCATAAGAAAAAAATAATAAAAATAGTGCTTCACAAGAATCCAATATACTCAATTCTGATATGAGGACAACTGATACTACTACATAGTGGGAGGTGTTGGAATGGGTGAGTGGAGAGAGGGAATGAGGGAGAGGGGATGGGGGGGTCACAGTGTGTGACACACCTCTTAGGGGAGGGAATCAATTATAAGTGGGACAAATGCTTGCAGTGTAACCCAGTTCTTTGTATGCTCAATGATTCCCCAATAATAAAAATACAAATAAATAAAAAAATTAAAAAGTGCTTCAGAAAAATTCAGTTTAAGTCAATTTACAAGAAGGACTGCAGAGAGCTGGAAATCAAAATAAGCTCAGCTAAGTTTCTACCCTGAAGAAAGTATGAAATATATACTATGGTATAGTAATAAAATAAATAAAATCACTTTCACACAACTATGCAAGTAAGAAACCTAGAAGCCAGGAACATAACTACAAATAAAATAAACTTACAAAGAATAGGGAATACTAACAACCATATGTAACAATTTTGAAAACTTAAGCTGAAGAAAAGAAATCCTAAAAAAATATATCTTATCAGAACCAATTCAAGAAAAAATAAATATTCTGACTACTCTTTTAACTATCAAATGGAAACAGTAGTTAAAAATATTCTCACAGGCTCGGCGCCTGTGGCTCAAGCGGCTAAGGCACCAGCCACATACACCTAAGGTGGCGGGTTCGAATCCCCAGCCCGGGCCCGCCAAACAACGATGGCTACAACCAAAAAATGGCCGGGCGTTGTGGCGGGTGCCTGTAGTCCCAGCTACTTGGGAGGCTGAGGCAGGAGACTCGCTTGAGCCCAGGAGTTGGAGGTTGCTGTGAGTGTGATGCCATGGCACTCTACCCAGGGGGATAGCTTGAGGCTCCATCTCAAAAAAAAAAAAAAAAAATTCTCACAAAGAAAATACCAGGCCTAAATAGTTTTACAGACCAATTCTACCAAAATTTGATTCTAGATCACCTTAATTTTACATAAATTCTTCAAGACAATAAAAAAATACATAAATTCCAATTCATGAAGCCAGTATAACAAATATTAAAACTAGTCAAAGTTTCATTATAAGAAAGGAAAATTAAGGCACATTTCATTCATAATTATAGATGGAAACATTTTAAATGAAATATTACTATATTTAACCCAACTGTGCATAAAAGACAATGTATCATGACCAACTAGGCTCATCCAAGTATGGAAGAATAAAATAATATTAGGAAAATTCCTAACTGTATAATTAATTATAAGGGGCAATATAAATATGATCACCTCAATAGAAGCGAAAAAGCAGTTAGAAAAATTTAACATTATTTCATAAAAAGACACTTACTGATTATTAACAGAACTGCCTTACCTGAAAAAGAATATCCAAAAAAGAGAAAGAAAAAAAAAAAAAAACTGGAGTAAATGGGGAAATGGTAGAAGTATTCCCTTCAAAGTTACAAATAGTTTTATTGAAGGGCTGAGCCAATCAATGAGATAAAAAAAATAAATTAGAACCAAAAGAATTAGAAAAAAGGAAGTGAAACTGTCATTATTTGTAGTTAATAGAGTCATTTTGAGTGAATCCATCCTCATTCTCTGAAAAAAAGCCCAACAAACAAATTATCGCAGATAATAGAACAGTTAAGCAGGATGGCTAAAACTAATATTTTTTCACCAACAGCAACATCTAGAGAATGTAATTTAAGACAATTTATAATAATAGTAGATATCAAGGAACTAGAAGTAAATCTAACAAAAGATATACTTATAACATGTTAAAGACATCAAAGAACTGAAGTAGAGAGACACATTATGTTTGTGACTTAATATCATAAAGAT